ATGGCAAGTGTGCTGGCTGAGAGGGCCCGTGCAGTCTTTTAAAAACAAGAACCTCCCTTAGAAACAATGCTCCAGCCTCCTAATAACCTTAATCGCTCCCAACGGCCCCAAGAACCAGGTTTAATGACATGACTGTGTTTTGTTTGCTTTTCAGGCTGCTTTATCTCACACGGCACCTTGCACTCAGCTCAAGCGATGAAAACCCAATTCCTTCAAAATTCATTCCTGTTCCCCTGCGATCGCAAGCTCCAGCTCCCAAAACAGTGGGAGCTGAGCTGGGGAAGTGCCCAGCGCTGGCACACCAGCATCCCACTGTGGGAAACCCTCAGTAAAGCTGGGAAAGCTTCCACAGTGCCCTTTGCACTCCCCAGCTAGCAGGGCTGGGTGATAAAAGGCTTTTTTATGGCTCTTTTTGCCAGATTTACATCCCCATCTGGGCTATGCAAATATTGCTCATGACAGCGGGATTAGGAAATGCGAAGGAGGGCTGGAAGCCCGGGTGGACGTAGGAAAGCCCCCAGGAATGCTGAGGTCCACAACGCCCTCGGCTAACGCATGTGTGAAATGGGGCCAGCGCAGCTCCCTGGCAATTAAGAAAAGCACCAAATCCTGCAGGTTTGGGTAAGAAGGTGGCAACCCCAGTATCACTGTCAGGAGATGGGAGCCTCCCAAGCGCCAGCACTGGGCAATGACACCCATCACAGGTCTCAGATCTATCACCAGTTGGTAATTTGTATTTAAGAGGGTCAGTAAGAGTGCCCTCACCCTTCCCAACGCCCAGACCTCACACCTGGGGTGGATGTCTTTCATTGCAGCAGGCTAAATATAGTGCAGTCTCATGGCAGCCGCCCCTATTCGGTCTCACCCAAGCCACAGAGTATTGCTGAAATTTAGTTGGGATCATTTCCAAGAATTACCTCTTGCGATTTACGCTCGCCTTGGGGTTTCCCTTCTCAGCTCCTAGTGCTCCAGCCACACTCACCCACCCTGGCACTCTTCTTCAGCCCAGAAGGGAGTCCATGGCTCTTCCTCCCCATCTTTCGCTATGACTATCAGCAGCAAAATGCTTTTTTTTCTCCAAGAAACAAATTCACTCTTTCTCACCAAGCCTCCATTAGGATGCTGGAGTAAAAATAGCCTTTTCCAGTTAAGCTCACTGGTCCTAAGGATTTAAATCAGTGCTCATGAAGAAACTCCCCATCAAAACAGATGGGAATTCAGGTATAAAGACGACATCAGGTATAAAGATGACATCAGCTATGCCTTGGCTGACATCATCTATGCCTTGGCCTTGTGGGCACAATGAGATACAACAAGCCAAGGGCTACAGTCCATGCTTATCGTATCAGGCTTCCCTGGGCACGGGGCACTCTGGCAGCCCCTGCTCCCCAGTTGGGGCTGGACTAAAGCCAGGAAGTTGCTCCCCAAGTTTTTGCACACCGGAGGATGCTGCTGGACACACGGATGGACTTGGAGGAGCTGCGGCCAAACCAGCCCAACTCCTCAGGCCATCTCTCTGAGTGCTTGCAGCTCTCACTTCCAGCAACCAAAACATTAAATATTAAGCAAAGAGAGTTAATCTATACCTGGGATATTGACACAAAGCAAAGGAGGGGAGAAGAAAGAGATAAACAAATTTTTTTTTTTTTTTTTTAAATCAATGTGCCTCTCCCTGCCGGCGCTTGCCAGACCTCCAAGCACAGCACCCAAGGATGCATTTGGAGGAAGAAGACGCACCGAGAAGCGTGGCTCTCCCAAATCTCCCCAGGTAGTTGGAGCAGCCCATCGGGACCCTGGGGTGGCTCGGGTGCAAGAGGGACCTCCTCGGCCCCAGACAGGGATGGACTCACCTCACGCTCACCTCTCCTGGAGTTTGGGAGAGCATCCAAGCAATGGCAGAGCAGACATCGATTTAAGAGGGTCAATGCTCAGTTAATGCTTACCAGGACTGTTCTGCCACTCAAATTGGGTTTTGGAGCTGGGGAAAATGAGCACGCTGGGATGGCTCATCCATCCCTCAGCTCCGCATCAACCCATGCTTGGCAGGGCTGGCACCGGAGCAGCCATGCCCCGCGGATCTCTCGGCACCGGAATGAGCCTTGTGCAACCGGAGGGAAATGCCACCATTCATCTCCCAGCAAATGCTTTCAAGCATCACTCAACACCTCTCCAGCAGAGGAGACCAATATTTTTTTTTCCTGGCTGAGTGCTCAGAAGTATATTTTTTTTTTTTTTTTTTTTTTATTCCAGTCTCAGCATTCCCCCTCCTCCCCCCAGCTCTCTGCTCCCCCCGAAAGAAAACAAACCCAAAAGCACAGAGTGTGCCTTGCAAAAGTCCCAGTGCTGGTGTCCTGCCGTGAAGGGGCACGCGGTGGTCCCAGCAGCCAGCCCGCCTCAGCCCAGCGCTGCTTGTTGACATACGCGGCGCAGTATATTTCTTTAAACAAAGAAGCCTATGCATTCAATGCATTGTTGCGAGAGGGTTTGTTTTCAAAGCCTGACCCCAAATCTGAACTCTGCGGATCCTGCGTTTCTCAAGATCAAACGCGAGAAAACGTGACCAATGCAAACAAGAAATAAACCTTGATAATTATAGCCGTGTGCTGGGGCGGCTATTGTTTAGTGCAGACTAGTACCTGCTTTAGCATAAACATAACCCTATTTTTAAAGGGATGCCTGACCGCCTTACAACATTACTCCTCATTTTGCCTCCAAACCCCCTCTTTGATACAAACCCACCTTCCCAAGAAGGGAGAGGAGATTTAAGAGCAGAGCCAAAAGGCTAAGCGATGCGCCCACGGCCATGCCGAATGCCGGTGTTGGAGCAGGGAGCGGGTCCTTGGCCCCCCCCCCCCCCCCGACCTGCTCCCGGTTGTGGGGGGGACAAAAGGGACCCCAGAGTCTGGGTGTTGCTTGCAGTCGGCGGGAGCAGATGGACATCGGAGGACAAACAGACAGCGCCGTTCTTTTCAGGAAGGCCGTATCACTTTGCGCTTGGAAAGGAGCTCCAATATTCTCCCGATTATGTTTGCACGCAAACGAGCGCCGCGGGGAAATTATGCAACCCCGAGCGGGGAGGGGTGGGAGCGAAGGGCTGGAAGGTGTGTGTGTGTGTTTGGGGGTGGGGGGGGGGGGCCCACACTGCACCCCGCTGCCCCCAGCCCCAGGCGGTGCAGCTGCAGCCCCCGAGGCACCGCAGACGGGCTCCATCACCGCCACCTCTCCCCACCGCCGCCGGCATCCCCCGAGCCCCCGCGCCGCACCCTCTGAGCGCGGAGGCAGCGCTCGGCCGGCGTGTCGCGCAGGGCAGGGGTTATTAACGGCCTCTTCATTAAGCACCCAGACCAAAATGCATATACTCGTCACCTAGGCAATTTAATTACTGAGCCCGGGTTCACCTCGCACACCCACACGCCTTTCTTTTTCGAGGCCTCTGTGCGGTCATAGCCATAAATAAATAGATTGCAGGAGCAAGAGGCAGATGCTGACTCCCACAACCTCTGTCTTGGGCACGGAGCCTTTAAACCACCAGAACTTGCAGTATTTAATTTCTTTTGTTACTGCTTCTCCCTTTAGAGCTCTGCCTTAGGCTTTCTAGATATGATCACAGGGAGCAGGAAACAGAGAGCCGTGCGATGAGCTTCCTGGGGATCACACGCACACTCATACAGCCCATCAATCACCCTAATTACAACCGGCCACACGTCCACAGCTCTCTGCGGCACTCCGTTACTGCTCATAATTACACGATCGCATCGTTTCTCCGGTAACAGTATCGCGGAGTTAATTCATGATTTGTAGACGCGGTGCATCTCGTAATGCATTTCATCCCGGCGCGCTCGTCGCCGCGATCCCCAGTCAAGCGTCAGCTGAGCGAAGGCAACGCTGGTCCCCAAAATAAGACCTTCAGGTCCTCACGCACCCCCCGGCACTGCCTCTCTCCGCAGCACACTCCCACTTTGGATTCTCACTGCTGCCCACGTCGCATCCAGAGTCAGGACAACACCGCAAGCAGGTTCCCTCAATGCCAAGTGCTCGTCTCTACCCGCCAGAGAAAAGCAAGGTGGGCCACGGGTGTCCATCGCGGGGATGGGTATGATCTTCTCGGGGGAGGACAGCAAGACCTGGGACGAGGCCGGGCCTCCCGACACCAGTGTCCATCACGGAGCTGCTGGGACCACCACCACCCCCCTGGCTGGCTGGTGTCCCTCTGCCAACTCTACTTAAACAGCGGGGTCTTTCCAGCGAGAAGCAGCCCTTTGCTCGGTGTTAACGCTAAGTCTTGACCCTGGCTGAGCCTGTAGGTCCTACCGAAACACCCAACGGGGTGCAGTTGGTGGGTCTTGCTATTAAGCACCCGAGACCCCGCACCGCCCTCGGTGTGACGGTGCAGGCGGCGCTGCCAGACCTGCCCTACGTAGGCTCCCCCACTGAATGGGGACGGCTCGGAGGAAGCGTGTCGGCGAGGCAGATGCTCTCGTGCAGCCACCCCTGAGCGCGATCCAGCAGCTAAGGCAGACGGGCATACAGCTTGAAAAACCCGTCACAAAATAACAGTAATAATAATTTAAAAAGATAAATAAAGGGGGTGGCTCACACACACCAGCTGATTCACCAGCGTTGCTCGCCTTACTCCAAAACACACCAGGCAGGACAAGCTAAGGGCATGCTTTTCAGATGAATTACTTTTAATTGAGTACATAGGAGCTTAGAAACACATGATGCTGTTGGAGATAAATATAGCCACGGCTACAAGGATGGAGGGGGCAGGGAGCAACCGCGGTTCAACGCATCCGAGAAGGAGCTTCCAGCCCCGCCGCCTCCTCGGTGAGCTCGGGGAGGCAGAGCCGGCCCAGCCGCCGCACCTTCCCCCGCCGTGGCCCCGCTCCCCCCGGCCCCGGGGGGGGGGGGGTGTGTGTGTCAGCCCCGCTTCTGCGAGCCCCGAGGGGGGAAGAGGAGCCCCCCCCCCCCCGCTCGCCCTGCCCTGGAAGAGCCCCTACCTGTTTTGAACTCCAGCGCGGGGTCCTTCTCCCCCTCGCCCAGGTCGCTCTGCAGCATCATGTAGAGGATCCCGAAGGAGTTGTGGATGCCGAAGATGGAGCCGTTGCACCAAGCGGCGGCGAAGACCACCACCCAGCCGAAGCCGCCCTCGGGGGGCTGGAAGGGAGCGGCGGCCCCGCTCGGCCCCCGCTCGGCCCCGGCCCCGGCCCGCGGTTCGCCCTCGCCCTCGCCCTCGCCCGCCGCCGGCCCCTTCTCGCCGCGCTGCGCCATCGCGGCCGCGCTCCGCCCGCCGCCCGCCGCCCGACTGCCCCGCAGCCGGTCCCACATGCCCGCCGCCCCCCCCGGCCGGCCCCCCCGCCCGCCCCCTCCTGCCGCAGCTTCACTCCCCGCCTCCCCTCCACCGCCTCCATCCTCCTCCTCCTCCTCCTCCTCCATCGCGCCGCTCGGCCCCCAGCTCCCTACCTGCGGCGGGGGGTCGGCCACTCACTCACCCACCCACCCGCCCGCCCCACCACCCCCCCACAACCCTCGCCTTCCCGCACCCCCCCCCCCCGCCGCGTTCCCCTCCCTCCGGGCCCAGCCAGCGGCGGGCGGTACTTCCCGGACACCGCCCGCCTGCACCGCCCGCCCGCGGGGCTTTAAAGACGGCCCCGGGCCCGGCCGCGGCTCCGCATCTTCCCGCGGGGCCGCCCCCGCCGCATCCTCCGGCGGGCGCAGCCCCGGGGCGGGCCGCCGCCAGCACCGCCCCCGCGGAGCCACCGGGGGGGGGGTGTGGGGGTGTCCCCGGGCCGGGAGAGCCCCGGTACCGCGCTCCGGCCTCCCCGGAACGGGGGGGGGGGAGCTGCCCGGCGAAGATTGGGGGGGGACGACGAGGGGGGCCCTCGATGGCCGCGGCGGGCTGATCCTGCTGCCCCCCCCCCCCCCGTGCCCCGGCCGAGCCGAAGGCAGCACCGGGAGGAGGCCGGGCGGGTGGCAAAACGCAGCCGCGGGCGCCGGGCTTGGTTTTATTTCATGCCGGGAGTTTTGGCCCCGCCGGCATCCCCTTACCCCGAAAAGTTTCAAGAGGGATTTTTGGTTTGGGTTTTTTTTTTTTTTTGGGGGGGGGGGGGGGGGGGGCGGTAATGCCACCCCAGAGCCACGCCGGCTTCGTGCTGCAGGGTGGCGAGGCGAGGAGCCGGCGACTTAACCCCAGCACCCCAGGGCCGTGGGTCACCCCACATCACCCCGGCACTGGGGTTCACTGGGCGGGCCTGCAGCGGTGGCAATACAAACCCAGCGAGGAGCCGCTCTCTGTTCTGCAATAAGCTCTGCCTTTTCCCTTCTTTCAATAAATAATTACAAACCCACCAATATATGAAAGCCTGTCTTTTCACACGCTGAAGGTATTTACGCTTTAATATATGCCAAGTCTAAGTTATTATTCTTTCTTTACCCTAATGGCTGTGTCAGTGTCAGATTCCTATCAGAGTAAAATAATACATCCCAACCTCACGCTGCTCTTTCTTTACCTCCAGGGATATTAATTACAAACGCCTGGCGAGGCAGCAGGGCAGGGTGCGGAGCCGGCAGGGAGGCGGCAGGCAGGGCCCCACCACCAGCACCGTCTCCCCGCTTCTCCCACCGCCGGAGAGCAGCACCCGGTCACGGGCTGGGGAACGCGTTTGCCTACGTGCCACGGCTCGCCGGGCTTGGCGAAGACCCTCTGGGGACATTGCTACAGCCAGAAAAAGCTCTCCTCGGCCTGCTCGCCTGCTCCCGGCTGCAAAGCGCTGCCAACTCCAGGGCTCCTCCATCGTCACCCTCTTTCTCCCACCCGGGGGATGAGCAGTGGCTCTCCCACGCGTTGGCGAGACCCGAGCCGGAGGGGCACGATGGTGGGAGATCAGCGCGGATCGATGAGCCCCAAATCCCCCCCTACCCGGCGGGGTGCCCGGCGGTAACGCCACGCTTGGGTCAGGCTCGCTGCTGGAGGAACTGCATTTTTATTTCTCTTCCTCTCTGGTGGAGTCTCCTCCCCGGATCCCCATCTCCGCAGCGCGGCTGGGGGAGGCTTGGGAGGTTTGGGAGCATCTTCCACTGCCCTCTGCCGACATGAGAAGCCGCAACGCTGAATTTTAATAACCATTTTGCCATAGGGCCGGCTGAGGTTGCTGCCCTGCTGGTTTTATTTTGTTAAACCCCGGCAATCTGAGAGGGAAGGGGTTTGGGTTACCCCGGGGCTGTGTTCAGGGGAGCTGCAAATTCCCCGCAGCAGCAGAGCTGGGGCTGGATTAAAAATAGCAGAGAGAGAGGTGGGAGAGCCTTTTGCTATAGCACCCAGCATCTCACAGAGACTTCTCCCCTCCGGAGCTGCAGAAGGCTTTCGTGGAGTGTGGGGGGGGGGGGGGGGTTGATATTCCTGTGGACCTTGAGCCAGACACAAACCCCACGGAGCAGCATCTCTCCTGGGTGTTGGCTGCCCAGTGTCTTGATGGAGCATTTTCTGGCACTGGCTGTGTCAGGCATCGCTGCGGCTTGCTGGGCTGGGCTGAGCAGCACCAGTGGGGCCAGGGGGTAAAATCACAGGGTGGGGATGTTGAGCGAAGAGGGGAGTTTAAAGGGCTGGGCTGGGTGAACTGGTGAAGGCTTCAACTGGGAGGGAGCTGCGGCCTGGAAAGCTCTGGCAGCATTGGGTTGTGCTCCCTGCTGTAAAACCAGCCTTGATTTAGATGGGAGCATCACCCCAGAGGGTTTGCAGCTCTGTAACCACAAGCTGAATGGAAGACTGAGAGGAAAAAAAAAAAAAAACAAAAAACACAAAAAACCCAAAACCCCCAAAACAGATAGAGCTGCTCTTCCCTGGTTGCACTCGATGATAAAAGGCCCTTCTGTATCCGTGGCACAACTTTTCTCAAAGCCCCCCAGCCTGCCAGCTCGGTACGGGACGCAGAGGATGGCTGCAGCTGAGCCAGGCTCTCCGGAACCCACATCTGATTTCCCTGGAGAGCTGGCAGGCGTCGTGGCCGACAGGCCTCCTGTTGCCCGAGCAAAGCGTGGCTATCAGCAGCTTGTTGCTTCTCTTCGAAGCCTCTGCCAAAAGGATTGGCAGCTACAAAACGTGTGTGTTTGGTTTTGCAGAAGGGGTGGAGTGACCGAAAAGAAATATCTTATGCAAACACCTTGGGAAGCGTTGCGGCGGGACGTGGCCTCGGAGGAGAGTACAAATTCCCGGTGGCTTTGCAACCTGGCTTTGTTTCAGTGGGCGTTGCACGGTGGCACGGGGACACATAGGGCTGTCCTGAGGACAAAACGTGTCTGACAACGTCTGCTGCTTGGCTGAAAGCGCCAGGAAAACAGCTCTGGTAGCGAGCAGCTCCAGGCAGAGACATTCACATGCTGGGCACAACCCCTTCCCATCTTTAGCAACGCTTTTCTCTTTAGATTTCAGTCATAGGGAAGACAGCCATTACATCTGGCCTGACAAAGACAACAAACACATTATCCCGGAGGAGTAAACAACTCAGAGGCAGCCTGAAGGGACATGGCAGCAGTCACCCGCTGCAGGGATGCTGGGACACAGGGTCTGGAGCCCGAGGCTTGTCAACGGTGAGAAGGCAGTGAGAATACCAGCACTTGCAATGCTGCTGCTTTCAAAGGAGAGCAAACCCCGCCGGCGGGCAGCCAGGCTGCAGGCAGTGCTCGTTATACCCAGCCAAGGCCAAATGCATGCCGTAGCATCCTTTCTCTGCCTGGCCTCCCCCGTGTTTGGGATCACAATATTAGAGGTGTCATTTTCCACCTGGTCAGCGAGATTAAAGACAATTCTACTTGGTTTGGCTGAAAAGTGAGGCAACTTACAAGTGCTGGGGTGAGCAGCAGGTTTTCAGGGCACAGTGTGCCATCGAGCTGCGCGTTTTGGCTTCGTTTTGGTGGTGGAAATTGCAGCACCGGGCTCACTCCAGCGGCTTCGGGCTGGGTGGGTAACGTGGTCTGGCTCAGCCACAGCTATTGCCCCACCTGATTTACCATGCAGTTGAGCAAAAATGCTATTTCTGGCCGAAATGGAGCAATGGGATGGATCTATGTTGTATTAAAGGGCTTCTGGAGTGGTTTCGCTGCCTGCTTGTGTTCACCGTCCAGGCGAAGGGCACTTTCTGAGAGTGCTTCTGTGGTTTTGAGTCTTTCCTTTAAAATAGGAGCTACGAGGGCATGTTCCTGCGGGGAAGTGGGAGCTCCTGGCTGGAGCCACCAACCCCAACCACCGTCCAGCCGCCAGCGGCCGCCCCGGCTCTGCCGTGTAACCCCACGGGACCTCGGAGAGAGGTGCCAGAGATGCTCTGCTGATGGGAAGAGCTCAAGCCGGCGCACAAAGGAGGCAAGGATCCAGCTGTAAATTAATATTTTATAGAACACCAAGAAAAATCAGAGAGGCTAATTACAGAGATAATCATCGCGGCCTGGAGGCATTTCCATGGAAGTCAGGAATTACCCAGGATTACCTCACCCCTTGCAGCAGCCTGCGCGGGAGGCGAGCGCGTGCGGCACGGCAGCCAGCACCTCCTCCTGCCCCAGCTGGGGGTCTGTGACCCAAACTGGGGAGCAGCCGGGTTTTGGCAGCCTCCCAGCATCCGATTCCAGATGCGCGGCGCTTGGTTTGCCGAGTTGAGTGCGGTGAAGGGTTGGAGTCACGGGGTTTTTGGCTGGGTGCTTACCCGCTGTGCCCAGCATGTGCCTCTTTATCCCCAGTGCCATCGTTGACTCCAAGCAGGTTAAAACCCTGAGGTGTTCAAGGCATTGCTAGCAGCGAAGTTTGTGGATGTGCCTCCAGGATGAGTTGTTCCCATGGTTCATTAATTAGCGGTAGTGACTGGTGATTGCATAGTTTATCTGAGGAAAGAGTGAAATCCCCGTCAGCTCCTTGGTTTGGAGGCTGGGGGGGCACTTCCCAGTTCCTGCACGACACGAGTTTGGCCCCACGTTGTTTGCAGCAAGCCTGGAGCATCTCCACGAGCTGCGTGGCCAGGAGGGCTGCCTGCTCCTGCCCCACGACCCAGAGCAAAGCCAGGGCAAATATCTCCAGGGCGAGCAGCTCTGGGAGCAGAGGAGCATCAGTGCAGCTGGCTTGTGTAGCTGAGCTCGAGATCATGAGGGCCTCGCTGGTCTAAGACCCAACCTGTAAGTGGGAAAGGAAAAAGCTTGGGTAAAAACCGCACGCCTGGTGCACAGAGCCAGGAAGAGCCTGGGCAAAGGCCGTCCCTGGGCTGAGGGTGCTGCTCAGCTCTATGGGTGCTACTGCCTGCCTGCACCCTGCCCAAACCATTCTGCAGCACCCCTGGCAATGGCAGAGA